TGGCTCTTTTAATATCCCCTAATGTGTACCAGCCCTCTAGTCATTACCCTACTTCCCTTTATTATGCAGGACCCCTGCCTGCATCAGCGCTCATTTGAACAGAGCCTCACTAAACGCCCATGTGAGTGCCTTATGTATAAACCCACTCAATGCTACACTTTCCCAACCCCCACCTGGTATCCCAGTGAACACTCCTGTCAGTGTGTTCACAATACGGACCTCCACAAACATCAGATTTTGGCAGGAGCGCACCTTTTTAAGTGTTGAGTGTTGTCCCCAGTCTCTGTTGGGTCTCCAGCCCGTCCTGTGTGGCCCCTTACTATCAAAATAGAAGATCAGCTCATGGCCAAGTCCAAAACAGGAACTAATGCAAAAACCTCCCTGTAACCTTTTCGAAAAACATTCAGCGCATGCTCAGGTCAAAAGCACACTTCCTGTTTGAGTAACATGGGAGTAGTTTTCACAGAAGTAGCAGGCTTTTTTATTTTGCTTGGCAATTATTAAGTGGAGTAATAAGCGTGGAGTGATGCTCTCCATCTCACACAAATGTATGCGTGGTCATGTGCATGTTACCAACAGATTGCTCACTGTGTAATTTAGGGAAACCTTTTAATTTGAGTTCATAACAAGATCATTTTTTGAGGATTTTAAGTGTTTATATATAATATACTTAAGTGAAAATATAGTCACCGTTAATATAGGCTGAAGCTTGGGAGCAGCTTTGGGCGGTTAAGTTTGAAAAGATGGCAAACATAATCAAGCCTAAGTGATTAGAGGTGCACATGCTTTGTGGGACATACACCACACGCGTGTGTTTCTCATCATCTCAGCCAATGTTTCTTCTCACATCTGAAACCTGGAAGCAATTTTGCCTCTCTTGAATAATTCTCACTCGCCAAAAAAAACATTATCAAAGAAAGAAATCTGCACATAAGAGATAGCCAGGTGGAAGTCTGCAGAAAATCTTGGTCGTGTTGTATAGTATGATGATATTAAAAGGGTTCAAAGTTGCCTGTGAATGTACAGCTCACAAAGCATGCAGACTGACGCAAACCTGTGTGTTGAATGAAGTCGGCCCTGTGCTTTGCTGGCCACACGTGTGTTGTGTGTGTGTGTGTCTCTCACTTCCTTGTGGTCAGGGCTGAAGGCTGTCATTATGTGGGGCCGCAAATTCGCTTGACATGATCTGCAGACATTAAATCATCAACTGAGTCCAAACATCTCCCACAGTCTGGGATATTCCTGTTGTAAGTGACGTGACTTGACTTTCTTGTGTGCAGAAATAAATGTTTTGATACAACAACAATATTACTAAAAAAAAAAAAAAAGATTCTCAATAGGGATTCTGCCCAATCTGAATCATTTGATAATTCTTCTCTGTAACTAGAGTGAATATTTTTCCCAATTCATGTGCTGTTGCACAGAATGTGGGTTAGGAAGGAGAAAATGAACAGATCTTCACCAAGGAGAGAGTGAGAGAAATTAAATTAAATGTAAAAAAAAAAAAAAAGGGAGAGTTGAAGTGATGTAGTAGCTTAACGTATTCCATTTTTTCATGTTTCCTCACAAAGTTTCTCTTTAGTGTATTAAGTTCACATAACCTCATTTCATCTTATTTGGTCTTAGTCTGACTCATATAATCAATTCTGCACCTGAAATTTCTTCTACTTATCTTATAGTGCTTTCACACTTGCAGAAAACTCCTGAAAAACTCCTGATATTTCCAGGAGGAGCTGAATGTGTGAATGCAAACAGCCACATTTTTCACTTGGACTTCACCCGGAGTTTCCCCTGCCTGCCCCCTAGTATTTTTTTCTGCAGCAAGTCCGAGTGAGCTGATGTGAGAACGCCACAGGATATTCTCCGGAGAATTCACCTCGAGCCAATAGGAAAGGGTGTTTACATTTATATCCAGTGACTGGAGTCAGTGCATAGAGGGTATGCACGCGCCCGGTACGATATCTGTGCACGTAATTAAACTGCTGCATCACGTTTTCTGTTCGTCAGTGTGTTGTTCTCTGCTCTCTTGTTGATAATGTGATTTTGTTGAACTACACGTAGCATCGATATTAAGGCAAATATTCTCATTATGGTGTCGTATAGGGGACTCCATACACCCCCCCTCCCATCTGACAGGTATAGTCTCCTGCTGCGAGGTTCATATGTGAACAGCCAGGTCAGGAGCATATCCGAAGCAGTCCGTTGGACCTTTAGTGAGTTTTTCCCATGAGACAAATCATTTCCATCATTATTGTTCAATGCTGTTTTGTTGTTGTATTTTTATTTCTTGACCTTTTCTGTATTCAAAGTACCACCCAGCCAAACTTCCTCCCAGAATTTCAAAGAAAAGTTCATCCTGAAAATGACCGTGGCAAAGTTTTTAAATTGTCCTTTTATGTAGTGTAGAATCCCAGTGGTACACCGGGTTTCCTTCCATTCTCTCAGTGATGTACTTCTGTAAATCATACGTTGAAGAAACTTCCCTTCCAGGAAACTATAAAATTCTCATCAAGTACAATTCAGTCTTGTGACAGGGATGTAATGGTTTTTTACAAAAAAAACTCTTGTGATCACTGTTCAAATTGATGGATACACAAATATGAGTTAGCCTAAATACATATTATGTAATATGTATCTAGGCAAAGACACAGCAGTTGTGGTTTTAAATATCCCCTTAACTGACAGAAGCCTGGAATAAAGCCGTTTAACCGGTTAACCTCACATTCTCCTCAAGACTGGTCGCTGATCTAAGTTGACAGGCGGTATTTTCCTTCAAAGTCACCAAAGCAGACCGTCTGTGTTGTATTTCATTTTACAGACTGATAGTTGCAATTAATTTTATCCAACAATCAAAAAGCTCATAGCTAAGAAGCATCCATGTCTCCTGAGACTTGAGGAAAATGTATGCAGAGTGATTTTTTTTTTAAAAATAAGATGAAGTATATCAATCAATCTAATAACAAAATATTATCTCCAGACACTTTACAAAAGAGCAGGTAAAAGACCTCACTCTTGTTATATTATCCTCAAATCCAAAAATAATCAATTTATTTAAATATACTGTGTGTTGAAGTTATGTTTTTGTAAGGAGAGAGGTATCCTGGAGTCCTAGATTTGATAGTTATTAAAGACTAATAGAAAAGTATTTAGTCCACCCCAGTGACTTTTAATAAGGGTGTAGTCTTGATCTGGGCTCTATACTCAACCTTGGCGGATTCTAATGTCCCAGACTTCTCCTCGACAGGCTGTTACACTGCCTCACTTCTTAGCCCCCCCCCCCCTCCCCCCCAGGTGATGAAGATGTTGTGGGCTTGCACCTGGGACTATAATAAAGAACTTAACAGCCGTTTTGGGTCAGCAGTAAAAATCCAAGAGGGGTGTGAAAGAATGCTATAGCACAAGTAACATACTCTTGACACCTCATGTCCCCCTTTGTTACAGGGAGACATGCACTTGAATAGGGTCACGTGCAGAACTTGGGCCGTTAAGTTCACGGTTGGGTGTCAGAACTGTCAGAAAAAGGTGCTCACTTATCTTTGAGGTTAGGTCAGTATTTTGCATATTAATCTAAAAGAAAAATCAACAGTTTATTCAGAATACAATGTTATGTCCAGTGTTTGCAACAAATTCAGTTGAATGTATCAGAAGAAAGAGCCTCCATATAAAGTGTCCTGCTCTGTATCTCTACTTTATATTTACTCCACAGTCCCATTCTGAATATTGACATTCCTGATGTGATTGTTTTATGTTCAGCATTACAGGCAGGACTGTGAGACATTCCGCACAGTGGTGAAGATGTTGGTGGACAAGGAGCCCAGTTTGGATAATATGCTGCAGGCTCCACTGGATAAGAACCTGTTGGAGATCAAACAGCGCTGCCTGGACTCCCTTAAACAATTTGTGAAGGAGCTTGACGAGGTATTAGAGCAACCATCATCAGAAGCCACAGGTCACAAAACACTGAAATAACAATATGGAGTCCTAAAATCTTTCTTGTTCCTTATCTTTATCTTCTAAAGGGTTGAGGCATTTAAACGTTTGTCATGTGAATTATATTGTTTAATAAAATTATGGTATCAGTAATATGTTTAAATGATAATAAGAAGAACAGGTAATCAAGTGTTGGCACTTTGCCATTTGCTGAGACATGAGATGCTTTTAACCTGTAAGGAAGGTTCCTGAAGTTAACACCAATTCATCTTTGTGACTTGTCATGCCTGTCAGTGCTATCAATAAGTTGGATTTCAATGAAGAATTTAAAGCATGTATATGAAAAGAGCATTGGGTTTCATTTTCCTTTGCTAAGTTTCTCAAGGAGTATTACAATATACGGTAAGAATCAGGAGCTTTAATAATATATAATACATCACAAACATGTACAGGAGTAGGAATGGAATGGATATTGTTATGGTAAACTACTTAAAGTGTTGTGATTGAGGAATGCCAATTACAGGTTTCTTTGAAAACTGAACATATGCACATTTAGGTATTTTGTTTCTTACCGTGAAGCATGTTGAAAACTGTCAATTCTTATTATGAGATTCTTTAACTGAAATTAGTTACTTGAGAGACTTTATCTTAATGGTATGGCCTACTGATAAGATCACTAGCAAAATATTACAAATAAAATAAATACACTTTTATCGTATCCCCTTTCCCTAAGTCGATAGTGCTGTGTGGTCTTTTTTACTTTTAGAATATGTATTTGTTGCAGCTATAAGTGGAAGTAACACCTTCTCTGACATAAGTATTTAAACCAGTATCGAAGGCTCCACGTCTATAAGGTATTTTCCATTAAGTACTATTGCTTTTAGAAAATTCTGACCATTTATTAAATATTATTGCTCATTATTTTGCTTACCTTTGAGTTGTAATCAGCGTGTGACTATATTGTAGATTTTTCATTAAAGTTTTATAAATAAAATGTCAAACCTTCAAAGTTAAGTGGTTTCTCCTTTTTTTTTTAAATCCATTAAACACAATAAACAACAAAAGCATGATATATAGATTTTTTTATTACAATTATCATCTGTTTTAGCCTTATATTCCAGTTTGTACATTTATACAAATTACAATGATGCTAACAATACAGTGACCCATAAATACACCACTCAACCAGGCATTTTAATACACACAGTGTTTCTCTCTTGTTCATGTTCATGCTGCACAAGCCTGGAAGGCAACACATTTGAAAAAATTGGGCCAGGGTTGGACTGTCAATTCATTTCTGACACTGTCTTGGAAATATGGCTCCGTACCAACTGCCAAAAGTTAAATGTTCATACCATTGTTGCACAAAGCATACCGTGAACTCAGGGGTATAAAAATAACCATTTAGTTTTTTTAATTCTACAATATATACATTAATATATTCACTGTTAAATAAACACAGTATAGACAGCTGTTTTTAAATATGTGTTACTCTAAAATATATTGTCACCTTACTGGCAAGTAGTAATGCTAGAAGTAAACCTAAAGAGATTGAACATTTGGTAAGTTGAGTGCTGTGAAGTATTCAATAGAAAGCAAACTGTTACTGTGTTTTAAAAGCAGACATGAGAAGCAAAAGTGGAGCAGAGCAATACAAAACTGGAGATAAAGAAGGGAGGAACTTTATGAAATTATGCAGTTTTTCCCCTTGTGTCCTTTTTTCTTTTTGGTCTTAGTCCGTAGACCATAGGGAGGTGAGGACATGCCTGCCACCGGGCTGGGCAAATCATCCGCATAGTAGTGTCTATGGGGTCTTGGCTGAGGGATGGGCTGACCCAGGAAAAAGCCTTCTTCCTCAGAATCAGAAGAGGAAGAAGAGCAGGTAGAACACCAATCGTCATCCTCCCCGTACAGCCCCAATAGCCTCCCCATGGCTGGGCCCTGTAGCCCGTAGTCTGACATGGCAGCTGGATTTGGGTGGCCATGAATTGCTTGGAGCCCCTTGGGCCCATGGGCGTTCCCTCTATGGTCAACTTTGTAGCTCATTTTCGCCCTCTCCTTGGGAAGTAGATTAAGAGCATTGTCAGAGCGAGACTTGCGACTGCGATGCCTCCTGTGGTGGTGATGGTGGCGACCAGACTGAAGTTCCTGGCCCTGTTCCTCAAAGTGATAAACGCGTCGACGTGTTCTTTCACTCATAGGAGGCTGGCGCACTGGGAGATCACAATAATGCCCATTGTCTACCACATCATCAGAGAATTTGACCTGCTGGGGCCTAGATTGTGAACGTGTCCTCCTAATAGCAGGTACATGAGGTTTGGGTCTGTCCACTGGCAGAGGAGCTGCCTCTTCTTCCGGGACATTTTCCTCAAACTCTTCCTCTTGCTCCGACACAAGGCTCTTCAGGGAATTGGCACTTCTGTGTAACATCGAGGAGTTGAGGGTCCCCATATTGCTGGTTTTCTCACAGTCTTCTGTCTCCAGTTCATGGAATCCTTGCAGGGAAAATACCAATTGTCTATCTTTACTATCACCATCTACAGAAGCCCCTGGAGAGAAAAGAGAAAAATCAGATACATTGTTCACATGGATTCAAGAGCAGCCACTGCCATAAAATATAATAATATATAAATTCTGATGCATCATGTCATGTCAACTCACCAGTAATATTTGAGAGTGCCAGTGAGTCCATAGAGTCTCTGACACTCTGTTCTGTTTTCTTGAACTCATCTGTGATACACTCCAAAGAGTCATTATACCATTGTTGATCCTCTCCCTGAAAGCCTCCTCCAGCCCCATGATCCAGCTCCAACTCCTGGATCTTTCTGCTGCTTGCTGGGCCTGGATGACTACCGTAGGCTGAGTCCCCAAGCCCATCCTGTGACTGGGCCCAGTACATCTCAGACTGGTACTTCTTACTTGCCAGGCTCCCCCGTCCTCCTCCTCCACCACCAATACCAGGTTTTGAAGACTCCTGCTTTAGCTTGGCATCCTTTTCAGCGATCCAGAAATCGGTGGGTCTGGATTCATTACCTTGCTGGAAGACCCCATGTTCCCCAAATTTTAAAAGCAGTTGAGTCATGTAGTCTTCGTGCTCAGCCCACTCCTCCCCCTGATCCTCAGGTGCCTCATTCTCTTCAGTACGTCCCCTCCAGAGATGTTCGTCAGATAAGTTCAAGTGGTCAAGCTTGTTGGTCAGGGTATCGTCAGCGTTTCCACTAAAGCCAGGGAACTTGTAATTGACTGAAGGAGAGAACAGGAGTGACTGTCTGCATTGGTCGGCTGAACGGCTGCTTTTACCCATGCGTACACTGCGGCGAGATTCACGGGATCGTGCTGACTGGAAGGCAGAGTCGGAGGAGTCTGAGGCATGCACATCTTCCCCAATGCTGCAGGCCTTGGAGCAATAAATGCGGCCCTGGTGTGGCAGGAAGGGGCAGCCCAGTAGGGAGCTCTTACATTGGACACAACTAAAGCAGCTCTCAGTTGCGTGCCAGTGGAGCCCATCATAGGTCATCTGAGCATGATCAACTCCTGGGAAAAGGGAAATGTCTTGATGGTTAGCTCTACCACACTTAAAGCTAAACAATCATGATAGTTTTTTTTATTTTATCTCCAGAAAATACATATCTTACCAATATGTTCTCCACAGGCCTCACAGTACTCGGCATAGAGAGACTCGAAGCAGCCACAACAATATGGTCTGCCATCCTTCATGATATAGCGCTGGCCCCCAAGAATTGTCTCGCATTCAAAGCAGGCGAAGTGCTTCATGTGCCAGTGGCGCCCCTCTGCCTCTGTGCACTCATCAGCAAAGATAATCTGTCGAGAAACAGATTACTAGATTACACAACCTGTCAGTTCTGCAATTCTATTTGTTTGTGTAGGATTAATTTGTGACAGTGAGGCTCTAAATTAAATGTTATTGGTATCCTTTTGGAATTTTAAAAGGCCATCAAAGTTAAACTTTTTCCGTCACTGCTGCTTTTGTTTCTTTCAGTATTTTAGTCTTGTGGTCTTACCTCATCACAGGCTGAGCAGCGTGGTTTAAGTAGCTCAGCATGATGCCTTCCACAGTGGATCTTTCCATCATGGTAGAAGTAGATCAAATCCACCAGCAGTTCGCTGCACATTGAGCAGGCAAAGCATGCTGGATGCCAGCACAGCCCAGGGTTTGCCCTCGAGGCAAACACGGCCATTTCTCCACCGTTGATGGTTTCACCACACTGCAATAAACAGACATGATTGAAATGATGATCAAAACATCCTGTTGTGCCTCTTAAGAAGCCCTTTAGCTATAATTGTGCGGTTGTTGCATCTCCTATAAAACTGCATCGACAGCTGTAGTTGCTCCTCATTTAACAGAAATACTGGTTCAATTGCTCTATTGTTTGTTTAGGGGGTCAAGATGTGGCTCATCTTTGTGTGCCTTCCAATCATGTTGTCTTACCTGTAGTCCCATAGGGCATGACTAATGTTTAACCAAACCTATATTTCAGTCCATTGTTTGGGGACATGCCTTTTTAATAAGCTATATATACTTTGGAATGGACATAATTAACTATGATTTTATAGTGTATATTGGCACACTCATCATTGAAAATACTCAGGAGAACACTGCAATGAACCACTCCAAAATACTCAACAAGGAAAAAATGCAGCTTGAGTTTAAGGATCTGTTAAGTAGCATGGCAGACACTATAGGATCTTTATGACTGCATTCTGTCTGTGTTTTAGCTCAAACTGGATCCAGATAAACCAAGAACCCATAGAGGAAATGTACAGAAGACAGGCAGCCAACCCTTTTTCAACAAAGTAGTTGAAAAAGACAGATTAAAAATAATATTGTCCAGTTCCTACACTTGAAAACAAATTCACTCAGAGCCCCTCTCCTCTCCATATGATTACATAAATAATTAATAATAAATTATGCTCTGGTACATGCAAGACAGGTTACGTACATGCTCACAAATGCTGTTCAGAAGATTGCGAGGCAGCAGTTTTACTGTGCCCCTTCCTAGAGCTTCCTTCTTCCTCTGGACACTGAACATAAGTAGTTCCTTCTTCTCCTCTTCACTGAGGGACTGGCAGTAACGCACCTGGGAAAAAAAAAATATGTTTAAGGACAAGTTAGGACAACGACAATTTATGGTTAAGGACAACTTCACAATCACATTTCTACATTAAGAAGTGAGATTCCTTCTCTTAAAGGCCTAATTGAGAAAATCTGCTGGGATTATAATTTTGTTGAAGCGGTTAAAGGGACCTTTTAATTGTATACCTCTTCAGCTGCAAGACAGTTTGCTATCAAATGGTTATAAACTTAGGTAGGTATGATAGAGGACAGAGTGCATACCAGAGCATGCTGAACAAAGGTAAGTCTTGACTCCAGCATGCCCTTCCTACACCCCCTGAATAACTCCACATACAGTCCCTGATTGAGAACATAATTTTCACAACAGGCGTTTTTGATGTTTCCTTAAGCTCCAACAAGAGGCAGAGCAGACGTTTACACAAACAAGGTCTGTGTTTAGAGTGAAATCAAGAGGACGGGCAACAAAGGAAGAGAGACAGCCAAGTCGAACTGTGGTGCCACTGCGGTGATGGCATCATATAAAGCCTCTTTCAACCAGAGTCCCTCTCTCCCGCTTAGCAGTCCTCGTAAAAACCACCGCTATGAAAAGAATCCTGCTGGTGGGGGCTCCTTGCAAACATCATAAAATCATCAAGTCAAAAGTCACATTGTGCCCACTCTACATGTCGACACGATTGTGGAACAAAAATCCCCCAGTGTGCTGTCAGCGTGACTGCCAAGAATTCCCAGAAGTGAGGTGGCATGGAGATGCTGTAGTTATTAATGTAGTGGGTTAAGCTGGCAACAGCAGACACATTATTCAAACAAAGTTGGAAGTGGCTGGAAATGAAAGGACCTGCTGGGATGAGTTTTATGATACTTTCATGTAAACATACAGTACATATAAAATATTCTCACCTCATTATCATGTGGTGGTAGTTGGTAGAGGAGCTGCTTGATTCTCAACTTCTCTCCTGGACTGTTCACATAGGGGATCTTATCCTCTGGCAAACAGGAGAAATATAACTGTACCTGGAGAAATCATAGATCAAAAAAGTCTCAGTATAGGAACATCGTGTCCGGCGTAAAGACGGGTTAAAAAGCCTTAATAATATGTACAAGGTTTCTGTGACCCTGATAAAAAAAAAATCTAGGAATATAACTTAGTAGGCTTCAAACACGTCGTTGGCTGAACTGAAAGGTTCAATGAATAACCATTAAATACAACTGAAACCCATTCCAAGTTATACATTTCCATGATTGTGGTGTATCAATTATGTACATATATCTGTTACTGGCTTTACAAGAAGTAGAGCTGTTTAAACAAAAACTTTCATCCATCACATTTTTTGTCATAGATCATTGTTATGGTCTTGGATGAGCAGCCCATTTTTTACAAACACATTTTATTTTTCCGAGGAACCAAAGACTAACACATTTATTTATGATTTATGACACATTCTGGGACGGCTCTGTGTAAATTATATGGAAGACCAACTTTTTATTATGTAAGTTTTTAGGTGTTTCCTAAACCCCCAATTCAGCTTTTTGTAAATGACATTACATAGCATTAATGTTTTTGATGATGGCACGGGGGGAGTTATAGTCTTCATAAATCAGCTCTTAAAAAGTCAGAACAGGTCAACAGGTCAAATCAGTTTAAAGGTTGTATTTTCCCAGTCATATGCTTGTCTCTATAGGGATAGGACAAAGCAGCTTGTTGCATGGCACTTTGACCCTTGGGGCTGACCACTGAAAACTAAACTTTACGAGGGAGGGGCTATTACAGCCAGCCAGATAAAAAGGTGGGATGTTCTCTTTTTGTGTGTTCCATTGGCTTCCTGCAGCTTCAGTCGTCTGGGGGGGGGGGGGTTACAGCAATTTAACCTGACAATCAAACCCAGCGTTTGCCCCCCACCGTAAATTATGCACATTTTGATGCTACTATTACCCCTAATCCACCTCCCAAGGGGCTGGGTAACAGTCGGCTATCACCCAAGCCCTATGTGTGTCCTCACTGTAATGATGACCCATAATACTTGGCTCATTCAAGGCAATGGCTGCAGTAAAGACATTACAGTTGACCCATGCATTTCCAAAACAAAAGGCCCTGCATGTTTGGGATTTAAGGTTCTCTGTTGCTGTGAACCCATCTCCCCCTCATTGCTTCCATGTGTGTAGTTTAACAAGGGGAGCAGGATGAAGAGACATGGAGATGAAGAGAGAATCACAGCAAGAAAAGGAAGAAAAAAATGAGGGGAAGAAAAAATACAGCAAATTGGGAAAAGTGCCACATCTAACTGGCTGCCCTGCGGACACAACTAACAGCCCTGCCTGTGTTTGTGAGAGAGAGAAGGCTTGTTAAAAGATGGCCGCTTGATTACTGATTCTGCCACCAGCAGTGGGCTCAACCCACCAAGTCCTCTTCTTAACAGATCCCTGATGATGACAAGCAGACTTTGCCATACCACAGTTTCTAAATAAAAGTAAACACATTCTGCCTGTAAGTGGCTGCATGGTAAAGCCTGACAAGGCTGCCTTAAACAACGCAAACAAGCAAAAGTTTTAAGAAATAGGTTGACCCTTAAGAGCCATCATGAGGAGACTTTAGTTGGTATTTTGTATTCACTAATGTGCTGAATAGCACTTATCTGGGCCAGGAATATGGGCTACAAGGGACATAAAATCAGGTCAGAGCTGTTTTTAATTCCTTGTCAGGAGGATACAATATTATTCACTGTGGTAATTTGGGAAACAAGGATTGCTGAACCAATAAAATAGGTCCCACAAATAAAGAGCACAATTCATGCTTCAAGGTTTCTTTGTAGTACATGAGAGCTGAATCCGCCCACACAGGCGTATTAAAGCTCAGCTCAAAACACCTTCCTTAACCTTCAAAAGAATAGTTTGTTTTGATATTTTGCTCACCTGTTCAGGCCTTAAGCCAGGTGGTACCCAGGCGTACTCCTCCAGCGCACACCCTGAGTCATCATCAGAGGTGGAGCTGCGTTGAAAGCCAGAGGTCAGCTTACTGACTTTCTGCTCCATCATCAAGTCCCGTTGGCGTGCCCCGCCCTGGAAGCCAGCCGCCGACACTGCTGCACTAGCCAGGCTCATCAGACTCTCTTTTTACTAAACAGATAAAAAGTAGAATGGATTTGGAGGGGGGAGGGGAGTTAGAAGATGAGGGAAGATGGAGGAAGACGAGAAAATAAAAAAGTTACTTAACAAGCCATTACATCAGCAAAACCCCACATAATACTATCCACACTCCGTCTAATTTAGTTCCCTCATGTCAGTGCAATTTTACAGAGCGTAACCACCAGCTGAATCACATCATCACTCTTTCATGAGACCCATAGCCGCCTCAAAAGCCAATTATGGTATCTGAATAAGCTGTTCTTGGTGCACTTCTGGTGATGAGAGCATGTGATAAAGACACTCATAAAGAGAACTTTACCCTTTCACTGCTGTTGTGGTAAAATGTGACATCCTCATGTGGCTTTCGGATATATGGAGACCATTTGGAAATTCCCAAAGCTTTGTGACATGATGCGGGGTCAAAATGGCAATAACAACCATTTAGCTATTCTTAAATGCGAAGCCTATTCAGAGTCGCTTGTATGTACACCCACTCTCGAGCTAAGGTTTGCATGAGTCATCATTTCGCATGCCGAGGTGGAGGTGCTACGTCATCCAATGTCCAGAAAGGGGCCACCTCAGGAGATCTAATGCTGGCTTGATCAGTTGAGCCTGAGGTCTGTATAAACACAGACCTGGCCTTAAGGCACAGCCACCATCTGGGGAATGTCCACAAGCCTGGTCTTTCCCTTCATCTCCCTTTTTTCTTTGGACCGTTTGTTTTCCAACCTGCTACATGAGTGTCTGATCATCCTTTCATCTTTGAGATGGACAGAACAACAAGACAGGTGAAGTTGTTGGACAGGGTAAGATGGATAGAGGGGGGGGGGGCTTGAATGGATGGGTTGGACTGAATTGATACTCAGTTGAATACTGACAATTGAACCGATGTAATAATAAAGAGAAAGAAACAAAAGACCAGCACAGTGCTGGCCTACACATACAGACTTTAGCAGACATAATGGTTATGCGAATTGTTTTGTTTCTACCTAACAAAGATAGATATCAAACAAATTAACACATACTTAGTGTGAACCTTAATTTGTAAATTCTCAAAAGAAGCCCAATATAAGCAAAAGAACCATTGAGTTGACAGGTCAGACAAATTATTCATCATTGGGAGACAATGAGTGATGGTGGTATGGTTCTTTCCTAAAATCGCCACAATTCTACTAGTCATGCCCCACTAAGTAATGCTTGAGCAGCAAAACCACAAATCTTATTTACTCAAGCAAGGTTGAATGCTGTTATTATAAATGAGACACCATTTTTGAGAGGAGTTTGCCCTTTCACCAATTGCTTAGTCTCACTGTAGATGGTAATTTGTGACATTTGACAATTTGACAAACCAGTGAGTCAGTGATTTCTTCTTAAAGGAAGTGTCAGCGTTCTCCTTGGAAAAGAAAATCAATGAAAAAGTGTACTTTTTTCGGCGAATAATAAATATTTTTTCGTTCTTCTGAATCACTTCTATGAACCCGCTTTAATATCCTGAGCTGCTGTAAGCTCTCAATGGACCAAATAGACACAGAGATAATGAATGTATGTCCAGTTGTGGCCATTTCTCACAGGCCAAGGGCTCTAGCTGAGATCAAATGGGAGCCCAGCAAGCGTCCAGCAGCCTGGCCCTTACACCACCTCCCCCAAACCTCAACCCCCTATGGCCAGAGAGGGCACTAAGGGCAGCAGAGAGACAGCTGAGAAAACCAGACACAATCGAGTGCAGCCTTTGAACACGGGCGTGACAGTAGAGCCGTCTTAAAATCTGAGCTCTCTCCTGGAATGATACATATGCCTGGCTGGGTGGGAGTGTGCAGCACCAATGCATACATGAGGAGGGAATGCATATATTTATGTCCGGCCAACACTGACACATGCTTCTAAAGGCTAAGCTGGTCCACACAACAACTTAAACCGTCACTCAACTATATGCTCATGTGTCAGCTCTTTCTTAAAAAGTGGCAGAATAAACCCCTTCTACAGATGATTTAGTGTAGCTTGAACAGCATACCGGGCCTGTCAGCTACTGACCATTCATAATACTTATCTTCTTCAAGGACATGTTGCCTTGCCGATGCCAAAAGGCATACCCACTTCTAGCCTGCCCAGCTCAGCATGATGGATAGTAGCATCATTGGTTTCAAAGTGTCAAGTCAGGCAGATTTGCTTTCTGACACATCCCATTACAATGCCACTGATATCCTGAACAATGGTGCCTTTGTAAAGCAATCCACTGAAGGCTTGTTCCATCAAGAGAATAGATATCTCCCTTTTAGTCTTTTTGTCTCCTGAAGATGTGGTGTGTTATCTCCTCATACATGACAGTTCAAGCCCTCAAACGCCGATAACCTGTCTTCAGAAAAAAGAGTGGTGAGAAATAAGACACTGTCTTGTTCTATTCACATCTATTGACTTGCAAATGAGACTAAAATAACCTACAAAAATGTGGCCTTGTTTGAGTGCAGCTTGGGTTTCATTCGAGAAGATGGCTAACTATAGACAGGTTGAGTCAAGAGTGCAGAGACTCTGACTTTCACAGCTTCATTTTTTATCAGAAACACTCACTCATGCATAACATTTGTTAGAAAGATGTTTGCTTTCACATGTTGGCCAAGCCTTGGTTATGATGTACCACAAAGCAAAACCTGACTCACAGGAATGTCAGGCTTGAACTTAAGCCAGCTGGGGAAGAGGAATAAAGGATTTATAATGCTCATTGCTTAGCAAAGACTGTTTCTCACAGAGCTGCATCTGCTTGCATGCTAATTCTTTTTTAAAAAAGGGCTGTAGTTCATTTCCTTTGATTTTGCCGACCACACTTCCTTAATATTTTGAATGACAGAAGCACTGAGCCAACTTACACATTCATGCTTTTACTGACTTGCCAAGTCACTGACTCATCACTTGTTCTGGCTTTAAAAGTTTTTCACCCAACAAGGAGCCTATGGTTTATGAGATTAGTTTTAACTCCCATTCTCACTGTTCCGCTCCCCCTGCCCTTCCCTCCTCCCACACTAGCCAGACCCCTGTGGTCTCGAATGTTTAACAGCCCCGCACTCTTTTGTAAAGGTGCTTGTTAACATGGCTTTGGGAGCTGCGGGCCTGCATATCTGACTGATCTGCCCACAGAGGGCCAGAGGGTGTTGGGGGTGCTATCAAACTGAGGCTAAAATGGGGTGACTGACATGTAAGAGAATGTTAATGTGCCTCATTCCACAAAAGAGAGGAAATTCAAGTCAAGGTAGGTGGAAGAGGGAAGCTGGAACACATGACGGCTATGAATGGTTTTTTAGTGATTGAAGATTTACAAACATCCCACAAGCTAGCTAGAATGAAAGAAGAGCACTGTGCTCAAGAAAGGAGTGCACAATGACTCTTAAAGTATGGTTACAGAAAGGCTTTACTCCTAACAGGAGCAAAAATGGACACGTTGTTGCAATCTTGATCCATCAAAGAGCACAGTCGACGCAGGTTTGCATTGGCCCAGACTCTGCATCATGTGTTAACTAGCTTGTAAAGTTATGTATCTCTCTGTGGAATATAACCTCTCATAGGATCTCATACTGTAAGAGACCAATAAATAAAGGCACCAGTGACATTTTTAACGACTATCCAACAACACTTAAGCAAGAGTCCCCAAAAGCCAGACACTGGGGCATTGGATGAAAAACTCTTAAGAGAGTGCAGAGGAAAATATAAAGCTTCTGGTCTGAATTACTGACTATTCCCTTTAGGAAGTGGATGATGGACATGCAAACAACTCAACACAGTGCTCTCTGTCAGTTTGGACCAGGCCAACGTGTTTGACTTGGCTCACGAGAGCTCAGAAATGCAGGATAGGCTCTACTTGTAGAGAAAAACAAGATTTTCTGTTCATGGTGCCTCTGAGTTCATGCTGAGCCAAATCTGTTTTTATTTCAGACAAGATACTGTATGTCTTAAGAAAAATATACGGCTTTGCCCCCCTCCCTGCTTTACACAAACGTGTGCAAATGACAGCCTGTCAACTATGGAAACTTAATGTAAAACAAGGAAAAGTCCAAGAAACTGAAAGTAAACTGAAAGAAAAGTGTCAAACTGGAAGCCAGATCACATCAGTTGACTTTTAAACCAGAAGCTTCTCATGTATGCCTTAGTAAAACAGCATCTATGAATAAACTTGTAATTTAATAATCTTTTAAATAACTGAAAAACTACCCTTAGGATTAATACATGTCAAATCTGTCCATTTGAAGGCTTGAAATGTGTCACCTTGAAGTGGCTTGAGAAGCATGCTGCGGAAAAGTCTGAGTGTGTCTGACAAGAGAACCCGGAGAGGAGCTCGGGTTATGCAGTGTTGAGGTGTTACATGGCTGGAGTTTGGTCAACTCATTGAGGCCTCCTCCAGAGAAGTGTTTTTCCAAGACCAAATGGATGGGAGACTCATCCCCACAAAGATCTACGCTCTGGAGACCTCCTGTATGTTGGCCAGACTGAACTATGACTCAGCACGTGCGCTGCTCTCACATAGAAAACATCAAACGCATAAATATCCAAGGAATTTTGGTTCAAAATGTAGGGCACCTTGTAACATTTGGTATGTTTCAAAAGCTCCGTCTGGAAGCAGATTTTGCATCACATATGTATTTCACAGAGCACGTTGAGTTGTATGTCTTGTATGCCATACAACAGTAATTGCAAGTTCAGTAATCTTCCCATTAAACTAAATAATCCACAAGATTTCATGTACATGTCTTTAAAAATCTGAATCAGAGTTTATGGGACTTGTTTCATGTAGTTTTTTAGTAATAAAGCAATAGTTCAAAATCTGTACTTTTTCTTTAAGTCTCACAGCAAAAAAGGCAAATTCCCTTGGAAAGTAAAACAGATTACATCTTCAGTGAATGCTGTTCCAATCTTACCTTAGCGTAGGCCAAGTCTCCTGAGGCGAGCAGAAAGAGGATCTTAACACAACTATATCCAACAGTCCTAGATTCTTCTCCGGCCTCTGG